GCGTGCCCAGGGCCGGCGCTCCCCCCCTTCACCCTCCAAGCGCCGCGCGCCCGGGGCACGAGTGGCCAATTCGCGGCTCTCCTGAGGCCGGCGCTTATCATGCACCAGGGCCGGCTCCGGCACAGCGCATACACCGCGTGCCCAGGGCCAGGCCAGCCCCGAGCACTTGGCGGGTGAACAGAAATGGCCCCGCGGGCACCGTGTTGGGGACCACTGCCCCCAGAGTATTCCACCTGGGGTCCATTCCAGGGGCCATTTAAAGGTCCCATACCATCTCTGCCACAGTACAGGCAGTGGGGGCTGGAAACCTCGGTCCCCTCTGAACTGCCGAGCTCTGGGGCAGCAGCCCCCTTAGTCTTCTCATCAGTGGGCCTGCATATCTATGTAAAGTATATTTACAACGTTTTTTTGATAAAAGTATAGTGCTCTAAGTTTTCAGTGCAGCAGTCCTATGATATGCCATCACAGTAGGTATGTCCACAGTTCAGGGTATTTTCCTTTGAAAAGAAAGACTTTTGAAGGTAGAAAATAAGATTCGTAATCTTCATACTTTAGAAATGTGTATCTGCCTGTGAGTCTGTTTGTTCAAGAACTCCTAAACAGTAAGAACTAAGACCACCAAATTTGGTATGCAGCTTCCTCTTATCCTGACGTCCATTGCCTCCCAGAGGAAATGCTGGGGGAGCTGGAAATGGGCATCTGCCCCCAGGAGAAGATGCCAGGAGCCAGAAACTGCTCCCTTCCAGAGATGAGAGGGGGTTCAGAAACTGCCACTCCCCCAAAGAGACACCAACGCCAGGCAGTGTTCCCTCTAAGCTGAGTGGCAGCACAGCTTCACAGGGCCCTGAGCCTCTGACTGGGCGGGACTGATTAATCACCTGTGAAGCTATGCTCCTGCACAGCTTAGAGGGAACACTGTCCCCAAACCCCAGAGAAGTTCCACCTTTGCCAACATTGGTACGCCCCCCCAACTTCTAAGCCTTCTGCCCTTAGTCCCACCACCCCATATTCCTACACTCCCCCTGCCATAAGCTCCACCACATATCCAACCTCCTATCCTACACCCCCGCACCTCCTACCCTAAGCCCCCACACCTCCCAGCCCCCTACCCTCACTTTTGCACCCTCTTCCCTGGCATGAGTCCCTAGACACTGCCCTGACTCCTGCACCCTCTACCCCGTGCCCTGAGCCCCTCCAATCTTCCCATCCACTGGCCCCACTCCTGCACTCCCATGCCCTGATGTGAGCCCCATTCACTGCCCTAATTCCTGCACCCCATCCCCTGCTCTGAACTTGTCAAGGGTGATGCTTACAGGGTAACCAGTTAACAGGTTACCCACTAAAATCCCTAGTGGGAGTCAGTGATGCTCATGCTCTCTGCAGGATCTGACTCCTAATAGTTAAAAGACAGCAAGCTTTAAAAAAGGGCTTATTGGTCAGTTTAATTTTCTGAGTTTTTTTAAATAATAAAATTTGGGAATGGTGATTTATATTTGATTCTGGGGGAGTAGCATGGAGTTTTGCACATAAGAAAAATAAAATTCCAAGATAGAACTAAATACATTTTTCATTTTATATTTCCAAATCAAGTTTACTCATGTGAGGTTCTTGTTTTCATGTTGCCTACCTGTGAAGATTTGGCCAACTTCTGACTGTATTCCTTTTCAATCTGCTTCAACCTGCTGTTGGCCTGAAATAGACACACACACACACACACACACACACAAAAGGAAACCAGATTAGCTCAGATGAAGAACGTGTACAGACACTTTGCCACTGACCTCTATGCTTGGCACCTCATCTACATGCCTATCACTAAGCAGCTGGGATCTGTGCCAATTCCAACGCCCTTTTGTGGCAGCCAGAAAACCACAAGGGCTTGTCTTTGATCTAGGGCCAACTATTCATCACTTAAAAGAGAGGAAAAATTGTACCTCTGCTGCCAATTATTAGAAAAACATAAAGGCCTCTATGGATAAAAAAAAAATAGGGGGAGAGAGAAGTTTGTCAAGATGACTTCATCTCTGTGAGAGGAAAAAAGGGAAGAAAAAAGCCACAAGTTCCAGTGTAGGCTGTGAGGGTTCAGTGTGACATGTATTATATGATTTTATGTGCCAGCTGATGTCTGCAAGTTCCATTTGTCAAATCTCACATTCTTTCTTTTTTAAACTGAATATAAAACCCAAGATGCATCAGAACCATTAAGGCCCTCTTTCATGCACAGTCTTTCCTTCTCCTGGCCTATCTTTCATAGCTTAAAGATGAGGAATAAAACAAAATTGGAAACAAGGCCACTTTGTTTTACTGATATCACAGGTAATTGTGAAGCAGGTGGAGCTGTAATCTGGTGGAAAAAACCCCTCTTAAATTCACTCATAGTTTTTATCAAAACTAAAGACATAATTCTGACATGGTTTGGAGTTTTAAAAACCATTGCTATACTATATCCAATAGACCTATCTCAAAATTTTTCTTTAATCTTCTGTTAATTGTTCTCGTATTCTTTTTTCTAAACTTTGAGGCTAATTGTCTGAGAAAAATATATCTTTCCATAAAAGAGGACTCTCAGCTGAACTTTGAAGCCAGTCTAGGGCAAGAAGCCTTTCAACCACCCTGATATTATGCAAAAAGCACTTTTCACAACAGTAGAGAGGACAGAAAAATCCATCACAAGGCTCTGATGCAGGCAGACCCCAACTGCCCTGTGTGGAACCAGTTGCAAGAGTGGGCTTTATGGCTCCAAATCTTGCAAATGCGTATGTATATATCTTCCCTCGAGTGAACTGTCTGATTTACTTCAGTGTGGCTACCCATGCTTAAAGTTGCAGACATGTGCAAGTCTACAAGGCTTGCAAGATCAGAGCCTTAATGAACATACATTAAAACAATACAGACAAAATCTAAATCGATAACATAACACCCATGATCTTCACAAACATATTAAAACTTGTTAGTCCACACCTATCTGAGCTGGAGCCATCAGTCTGACAGTGACCAAAAAGATTTGAAAAAGAAACTTTAGTAGAAGTCGAGCCTCTATATTCTGTTTACAAAATTAAATTTAAGAATTGATTTAAAATTAACTATTGTATTTCATTTTTTAAAACTAAAGACACCACCACAGCTTTAAGAAGGTAGAATCAGCAGCGCACTACACCCCTTACCAGCTCATTCACTACTTATCTTCAAATGCAACAGCTAACCCCACATTTTTACATACATATTGCAGCCTAAACTTTCTGAGGTGCTGAGCACTCAGAGCTCTCACTGAAATCAGTAGAAATGTGAGCCTCAACATCAGGCTCTATGTTTCTCCAGTTGGGCACCTAAAATGAAGGCACCCAAAATAGTGGGCACTGGGAAATGTAGCCTTCAACTTTTATACATAGTTCTGTCCCATTTTACAGATCTGACATTATAGCAACCTAAGCTTTAAAGCACAGGCACTGCAGCCTGTGCTACATAATATGAATTTTAGCAAGTAATATCACCGTGGTCAATGAAACTGAATTTTATTTAACTTATGGAGACACATTGGGAACTCCACTTCCAATATTGTATGTTGCTCCAGACTTATAAGACACAGGACCTGTGTCCAAACTTATCTGAGATCTTTGACTATGTGGCTTTGTAGCCTAGGAAGTAAGCCTTGCCAACACATGGTATTTGGCAGCGCAAAAGTGCTTTTACTTAGGCTTTATGCCGGGGAAGCATTTTACTACAAAGTGCCTTTATATAATGATATGTAGGAAATACAGTTTAGGATTTAAATTAAATTTATCTTGACAAACAAGGAGACTAAAATGGAATGGTGAAAACAATTATCAGTTTTCAAGCTTTAAAACTGGGTACAACTGTCATAACAGGCCAATTCTACCATATACTATATGAAACATAAGCTGCTTCCCTATTACTTTTAGCATACTTCCTCACTTGCAGGTTATGCGTATTTCAGAAACAATGATGAAAAAGAATCAAACTGGATAGCAACCCTTTGGAAGGTCAGACAGTAATATCTAACTTGACAGTAATGTGCAGCAGGATCAATACAGTTAATGAAGTTTTTCATGTGCTTTTTGTTACTTCTGTAATTCACATCAGGCTGAAACATCAGTTATGATGTGCATTTTTCTAGTAAAAGGGCTTACATTCAATAAGCCACAGTAATTTTTGTTTAGTCTCACATGTTTTAAGACAAACTTTAGTTAAAAATGGTTTTATTATGAAAATGTTACATGCACTTAGTTTATACTACAGAGTAGAATCTTACAGTTTTACGACTTTAAAAAGCAACCATAATTTTGTAACAAGTTTTCATACAGCTATCATCTATACTACTTATATCAAAACTAAAGATGGTAAATAAAACTGCACTGACTTCAATGGAACATTGAGTACCAACAATATAATTGCATTAGACTCACAGCTTATACGAGGTCTGAAATAATGGATATTATGTTAATGAAGACTGAATTTTATTTTCTTCTTTTCATGGAACACAATAGTACCATTAAAAATAAAGACATTTTAACAAAGCAAATAATTATGGAAACACATGAGAAAATTCTGAAAAATATTGTGTTACCAAAAAAATCTCATCTATTTTTCAGTAATCATAGGGTTGGAAGAGACCTCAAGAGGTCATCAAGCTAAAAGCAGGACCAATCCCAACTAAATCATCACAGTCAGGCCTTTGTCAATCTGGGACTTAAACACCTCTAGGGATGGAGATTCCACCACCTCCCTAGGTAACCCATTCCAGTGCTTCACCACCCTCCTAGTGAAATAGTTTTTCCTAATATCCAACCTAGACTTCCCCTACTGCAGATTGAGATCATTGCTCCTTGTTCTGTCATCAGTCACCACTGAGAACAGCCTTTCTCCATCCTCTTTGGAACCCCTCTTCAAGTAGTTAAAGGGCTGCTATCAAATCTCCCCTCACTCTTCTCTTCTGTGGACTAAATAAACCCAAATCTCTCAGCTTCTCCTTGTAAGTCATGTGCTCCAGCCCCCTAATCATTTCTGTTGCCCTCCGCTGAACACTGTCCAATGAGTCCACATCCTTTCTGCAATGGGGAGAGGGGACCAGAATTGGACACTATACTCCAGATGTGGCCTCACCAGTGCCAAATAAAGGGGAATAATCACCTCTCTAGGTCTGCTGGCCATTCTCTTACTAATGCATCCAGGTATACTGTTAGTTTTCTTAGCTACAAGGACACTGTTGACTCATAGCCAGTTTCTCATCTACTGTAATCCTCATGTCCTTTTCTGCAGAACAGGTGCTTAGTAAGTCGGTCCCCAGCCTGTAGCAGTGCTTGGGATTCTTCCATCCTAAGTGCAGGACTCTGCATTTGTTCTTGTTTAAACTGATCAGATTTGTCCCAATCCTCCAATTTCTCTAGATCACCCTGGACCCTGTCCCCATCCGCCAGCATTTCTCTCTCTCCTAGCTTACTGTCATTCACGAACTTGCTGAGCACATAATCCATCCCTTCATCCAGGTTATCAATAAAGATGTTGAACAAAACCGTCCCTAGAACCAACCCTTGGGGCACTCTGCTTGATACCAACTACCAACCAGACAGTGCTTCAAAATAGATTCTTTGTGGTTTCCCTCCATGATTTTTCCAGGGTCTAAGATGAGGCTGACTGGTCTATAATTCTCCAGATTTTCCTTCCCTTTTGAAAACATGGGCACAATATTTTCCCTTTTCCAAACATCCCGGACTTCCCCAATCAACATGAGTTTAGCAAGATTTTTTTGTGTAAAGAAAAAACAACTTTTAATTATTTCATTCTTCCTGCCTAAGTCACTCAGTGAAACTATGGTCCTGTTTCACCTTCTGGTCAGCGCTGACTAGAGCTAGGTGGACTTTTTCGGCAAATAAATGAGGGTGTGTGAAAGGGAGAATAAAATGAGAGAGAATGACTCGATAGTCTGATAGTTATGGCACCCACCTAAGATGTAAGAGGTCCGAGTTCCTACTCCAATAACAATTTAGTTATGTATAAATGTGGCACAGATACAACAGGATTGACAAAAACTAACTAGACTATCCCATAGTTCAGTAGGTAGGACATTCTTATATAATGTAGGAGACACAAGTTCAAATCCTTCTCCATATTAGGCAAAAGGGGAACAGAACCTGGGTCTTATCCCATTCCAGGTTGGACCCCTAACCACTGGGCAAAAAGTTATAAAGGAGGCCCTCTTCCTGGTAGTTTACGAAACTAGTCCTTTGCGTTCATAAAAACGCCAGGTCAAAAAGAAACATTTTGACCTGACCTGATATGTTCTGCAATTCATCAAAACAGTTAGAAAATTTGTTTTTCGTTTGCTCCAAAAATGAAGCTTTTTGCCTATATTTTGGAATTGTCAGCAAACTGAAAATCCATTAGCTGTCCAACTCTAGTTCTGCTATCATAAACACTACACTATAACTCCTGAATGAGTCAGCAACAGAAGGTTACTTATGTAAGTCAAAGTTTCTATTTATAAACAAGTATCTTGATGAGTACCAGCGAGAAGATAATGACAAGTAGGGTTGGTTCTGGCAAAATATGTCTTTCCAAATGTGGCAGGGTTTCTATGAAATGTTAAGGCTCCTACTTCTGCAAAAAATTTCAAGTTTATGATTTTGTCTTTAACTCATCAGGTTTTGCCTGGCTACTGCAGAACATATGGCA